GTTTATACAGTTACTTACTTGTGACAAGAAAAATATTTGTTACTACGAAATCTAGGAACAAAATTTAATTTAAAAAATTCTTTCTAGTGAAATAAAACGAGCAATAAAACTTTTCTAATTGCTGTTAGGTTCCTCTAGCATTTAGTTTTGTTGTGACAGTGTCGTAACCTTTCTGATTCTATTTAATTCATATCCTTTGCTAGCTTTTATAGCTAAAAAATACTTTCTTCTCCCACACATGTTAGGTCCATTGCTTTGTCGTAAATGCAATTTATACAGATAAGTTTTAACAATATATCAATTAAGGATTATTTTAATGAGCGTTGATGAACATTAATACTTACGTAGGAAGCGTTTGTTTAAATGACCGATTGCCACAAGAAGATATTCGTCGACAGTCTGAGTCGGTAAAAAGTTGTGTTCCATCTGCAACAGAGGAATCTCCTACGAAGAATTTTTATTGTAAACTAAATGATTCCAGCGAACAGAACAGAACATTTGTCTTTGTTTACAATGTCATCTTTATTTGTCTTGACACATGCATTCTAAAATAAACCCCTATTGTTTATACTTCTGTTATACATGAAGAACGGAGTGCATCTCAAGTGCAAGTACAACGAATGTATGAAAAATCGTCGCATATTGTCGAGTGTTTGACTTGGCATTCGCGCCTTGTATCGCCTTAGATAGCGTTATTTGAGTTTCTTTCGCAAATATTTGGTTTTATTTATGCAGTTGAAAATGAAATGGTCTAATCTATTTTTCTTAATTTTATTGTTAATCTTATACATTATTGTCTTCTTCAAAGTACTTCCCTCCCCTATTTACACACTTTTACCAACGGTGTTTCAATTTCGCAAAGCCATCCTTGATAGCTTCATTTCAAATGGCCTTCAAAGTCTGTGACAAATTTGCTTTGATCTCGTCAATAGTCTGAAAAAGGCGTCTTTCAGCACTGATTTTAATTTCGGAAATAAGAAAAAATCGCAGGGAACCAAGTCTGGTGAGTAAGGAGGACAGTAATCTGATTTTTGGTTGGAACATATATTTTAATTTTAAATCAGAAACGATATATTGTTTAATAAATCTAAAAACGCGTTTTTGTTAACAATTCCAGTTTATATCTATGTCAAAAAGATATATTCTTATCAAAAGATGCTTAAGAGAGGTATTCTCATATTCTATCCATAATTTTATACTCGTGAACTTCATTGTTTCATAAGTTTTTTAATACGTATTTACCTTATAGGAAAGCATCTAAGCAAAATACAATAATAGAACGTTTGTAAAAGGTTAGCAAGCTAACATTTGGTTTCAGCAGGAGACACAGTATAAGTTTCAAGGAATTTAAATGCATTACAAATGTGAATCAGCTGTCACTGCCCTCTTTACTTGCAGAGTTTCATTCTAGGAAGCGGATATTTATTTTATGTGGGATCGAAATTTAACCCAGAAGGAACTGTTATGATTAAACAAAGTTTGTTTGTACTGATGTGACACGTATCAATAATGTGGAATATAAATCTATCGAAATTGAAATTTTTTCTAGTCAAAATTGTATCTCTTTTCAACCTTTTTTATAATCACCATTTTTTTTAAATTGATCTAGAAATTGATCAAGGAATTTCACAATTCCCGATATTTGTGATGCTTTCTTATCCTCTTAAATTTGTTGATAAAATTTAAGGCTAACATTTATAATACATATCAATCAAAATAACTGCAAAACACAAAAAACATAACTTTGGCCTTATTAACATAATATCCGTAATAACAAACAGTACAGTAGAATACATTAAAATAAACAAAAAAACCTTATGTGGTATGGGTCCTAAACTTGGTAATTTGCGTTGTAATAAATTTAAAATTCGATAAAATTCATATCGAGCAATGTGACAACGACGCGGAGGTTTATTAACACGAGGTACTAAGGTGTCCAGCACCCACCAATACGCAATTCAGTTGGTATCTGGATTCGATCGTGTCGGAGTGTTTTTTGCGTACCACTATTTCCTTTTCTTGAGGTGTTTTTCAGCGAGTGCGCGAACATTGATTTCGAAGGTGTCGTGCCTACATCGAAAATGGTGGTGGACATTTTGAGCACATGTTGTAGTTTGTTTTGTACTTGTGCGTTTAAAAATTACTGAATTTTGCTATTTGTCAAGTCCCTAAATTATTTTTAATACTTATGATTATTTGGACGACGTACCATATCAAAGTTATGTATTTTCAAATGGAACACCCTGTATTTTACTGCATTTTTGAAAGCACCATAAAAAAATAGGTGAACATTATTCAAGGTTCTGCATAGATAGGATTTACAGTTTGTGAGATATTTCAATTTTAGTGAAAATGCAGGCTTAGCATAGAAATTTAATATTAGCAATAAAAAAATAATTTTAAGGAAGCAGCTTTGGAGAGTCCTTGAAGTTATAAATTATTATATTTGTCGTCACTTAGTATAATACAGGGTGTTCAAAAAACTGTTGAATACTTCTCTCAACTTTAAACAGCAATAAATTGGTTATTTTAAACGGGACACCCAGTATATTTTTACTTTGAGAGTTAGGAAATTTAAAACTCTTTCAAATTGTGTATAGGTTCCCTATACCTATCTCTAACGGTATTGGAGATATTTGTGCCGTTTTGTTTTTTATCGAATTTTTTTGTAAGATGTATCCACGTGTCTTTATCGAGGTCTTTATTGAATTAGTTTCGGTTCTTCTTGATGACGTTTCTTTAAATATAAGGAGAAACATGTGATTGCAATTAGATGGCGCACCTGCACATTTTTCATATTCAGTGAGAAATTATATAAATCGAAAATTTAGTAATAAATGAATAGGTAGGAATGGTCCATGTCAGTGGCTACCTAGGTGTCCAAACCTCCCGTAATGGACTTCTTTGTTTCGGGCTATATAAAAAATCTTGTACACAGTGTTCCACCTACTACTTGCGATGATATGAAGGAAAGGATTAGATATGCATTTGCCACAATCACCCCAAATATTCTAAGGAATGTGAGAATATCATTTGAAGATAGAATAAGATGCTGTATTCAAGAGAATGGTTATCAATTCGAACATCTATTAAAATTTTTCTTTGTTTCTTCTAAAAGTAAAATTTTCTTTAATAAATATTTTTCATGTTCATAAATAATTCAGTTACTTACTACAAACATATTTATACAAAATTAATAACTTTTTATAATTATTCTGCTTATAAAATAATATTTTTTATTAGAAAACTTTTTTGAATATTTTCATGATAATGATAAAAGGAACTTTTACTTTTAGAAAAAACAAAGAAAAATTTTAATTGATGTTCGAATTGATAACCATTCTCCTGAATACAGCATCTTATTCTATCTTCAAATGATATTCTCACGCAAATGCATCTCTAATCCTTCCCTCCAATATCATCGCAAGTAATAGGTGGAACATTGTATACAAGATTTTTTATATAGCTCGCAACAAAGAAGTCCATTACGGTGAGGTCTGGACACCTACGTGGCCACTGACATGCACCATTCCTACTTATCCATTTATTACTAAATTTTCGATTTAAATAATTTCTCACTGAATATGAAAAATTTGCAGGTGCGCCATCTAATTGCATCCTCATTTTTCTCAATATATTTAAAGAGACGTCATCAAGAAGAACCCAAACCAATTCAGTAAAGACCTCGATAAAGACACGTGGATACATCTTACAAAAAAAATCGATAAAAAACGAAACGGCACAAATATCTCCAATACCGTTAGAGATAGGTATAGGGAACCTATACACAGTTTGAAAGAGTTTTAAATTTCCCAACTCCCAAAGTAAAAATATACTGGGTGTTCCATTTAAAATAACCAAGTTATTGCTGTTTAAAGTTGAGAGAAGTATTCAGCAGTTTTTTGAACACCCTGTATAATACTAAGTGACGACAAATATAACAATTTATAACTTCAAGGATCTAAAATAGACCCTCCAAAGCTGCTTCCTTAAAATTATTTTTTTATTGCTAATGCTAAATTTCTACGGTTTGCCTGCATTTTCACTAAAATTAAAATATCTCACAAACTGTAAATCCTAGGTATGCAGAACCTTTAATAAAGTTCACTTATTTTTTTATGGTGCATTCAAAAATGCAATAAAATACGGAGTGTTCCATTTAAAAATACATAACTTTGATATGGTACGCTTTTCCTGGACACCCTGTATATTTCAAAATATATTTAAAATGTAGCCGTAATCAACCTACACACACCTAAACAGGTTTCTATAACATTTGCCATTTGGTCCCTACAGACCGAGGCGTTATTGGTGGCCCACCCTGTATAACTTTTTGTTCATTTATAATTACTCTATCTAACCAACCACTAGAAGAAGAAGCAGAAGTCCCATGAGTTTTTGGGTTGTTATGCCGCGCCCTGTATTTAACAAAGTATTTTAAATAACAGCACAACCCGTCAAAACCTTAAAACCACTATCACTAAAATTGGCCAACCTCTATGATTCTCAATTTTTTTAACAATTTATTGGGACAAGATTTGGTAAAGTAAAATGGGTTTAAGTTGCTACTGACTATATCTCTATCTACACAACTGCTTTACTTTATTTACCAGAAGACTAAACCGACTTCTCAGCTACCACTAAATCCATTTTAGTTTTCTCGAAAATTGTGACGTCTATTTGCTGTCACACTTCCATTGCTGTCAAATATTGAACTAGATTGTAGAACTAGAAGTGTAGTATCTTGCGTAAAGTTCAGCATCAGTTCTTCTTTTGACATTGTCCGCTTTGTGTCGTAGAAAGAAGTGAATAAAGAATAAAAACATTGCCTTAAGTATCCCGGCATCATGTTTCCGAATCAACGTCTGTCGCTAAGTCAAGCAAAAAGGACAAATTTCCATGCATGCAGCCTTATTCCGCGTGATACTTCAGGCCTCCACAAATTGCCTCCCAACGCATCCCTCTGCAGACGTCTATGCAGAAAGATTCGTAGACTGATCATGGTCAACCCTAAGAACCTCAGGTGCATCTCGTTCTTCCGCAATAAGTCCTCTATAATGGCCGAGCAAAGAAGACACGTGAAGAGTCCTTACAGGTTCATGATCCACCCATTCAGCACCCTCTGCTTGTTATTGGAAGTAAGCTTCTTCATCGTGTGGATGTGGAATATGCTGTTAGAGCCTATGTTCGACAACATGATAGAGCCTAGCTTTCCTTTAGATATTGTCGACAATTATGTGATGGTTCTCAGCCAGTTCCTGCTCATAACATTCTTCTTCTTTTTGGGATACATAGACCTCAAGACCAGAGAAATTGTTGTAGATACCAAAAGAGTGGCATATAGGTATTTGAGAACGTTCTTCGTTTTCGATTTCCTTTCATCTGAACTTTTGAATTTAGTAGTATTTCCCAGCGAGGATTTTCAATACAGCTCCTTAAAATTTATAAAATATGTGCACGTACCTTGCTTGTATGTCAGACTCAATACCGTTTTAAATATCTTGGATAACCTGGGACAGGTGATGAAAGTAAGACAGAAAATCCGGATGTGTTTCTGTTATATAATCAAGACTTACATGTACGTGCATTTTTTCTGTTGTTTGCTGTACTTGGTTCCTCAAGTGGTGTATGACACAGACTGGCCAAGCAATTCTTGGTTGGTGCAGGCCCAGATCGCCCCAGTTCATGACGTTCCGGTGCACATAATATACGGAGAATGCCTCTTGCTAACAATATGCTACTTCTTTGGCGCATCTCCAGGCAAGTACGTAATAGAACAGACCAATGAACAAATTTGCTTGATTCTTATCGGCTTGTTCGGTAGACTATACACTCTGTACCTGCTAGCGGACGTGTTGAATATATTCGGCGTCGTGGGACTCTCAGAGAGCAATTATGAAAGGCAGATAGCAATGTTGAAGGAATATATGGTATGCCACAACCTTCCGAACCAACTGGGGAGTAGAATGATAAAGTACTACGAGTGCAAATTTCAGAAGAAATACTTTAATGAAGCCGAAATTCTCAAAAGTCTATCGGGCCTCTTAAGGGCGGAAATATTCCTGTTTTCGGCGAGAACGATCATGAGAAAGACTAACGTGTTCAAGTACCTGCCCGAGAATGATGTCGCTTCGCTTGTTTCCCTGATGAAGTTGGAAACTTTCGCGCCTGGAGATATCATCTTCACGGCTGGACAGATCCACGAGTACATATACTTAATTTCTGCCGGTACAATTTCGGTGGGGACCAAGGATGGGATCGAACTGTGTCATTTTGAAGACGGGGAGATTATGGGTCTCTGTTACTCGATGTTAGGCTACGAAATGTTCACAGCCGTGGTTATAGAGACATCGGATGTGTTCATTATCAACCACAACGACTTTTTCACGTTTTTGGGTCAATATCCTGATGCGGTGGAGTTCTTACACGAGAAAGCTGTTGAAAGAGCCGCATTGTACAACCAGCTAGAGGATGCTGCCAGGAAGGGCGTTGACTCTTGCCTAGTCCTGTTGAGGAGTGGGGCGTTGCTAGAGAAAAAAAGATTAAGGCCTATGCATTGTTGAAATAGTTTAGTATTAATAAAGTTTTTCATTTTTCTGTCCATTTGTTTCACTTAACATGATTTGTCTGGTGGTTCTCTCGCAACGTTTAAACACAGTACATCTAACTGAATAGAATTTATAACTCTCCACATAATTTTTTGACAAACCTGGGCACATTCATGTTATGTTAATGCATTCTCCATGGAGAATTAGTAAAATTGTATATAAGCTGTTTCTTTAAGTTGCAATTTTGCTTTTATCACAACATGGAACTGCCATAAATTAACCTCTTCGTTTAGATAACTCAGGATCTGCATACAAAAGTTAAAATTGTCAACACTGGATTTGTTCACACAAGCTATCTCTTTCTAGATAAATCGCACTTTTAAAATCTACGTGCCTTAAAGCTGTTTTGCACAATGATTTATTGAAAAAATAAATAAATAACAAATTGAAGTTGACCCTCAATTTATTTTATGAAGTGTAAAATAGAAATTGGAGCACACTTTAATGACTTCAATAAATTGAGAAATTGGGGATTTAGCACATGCTCTAATTTATTCAGTTTTAGGGATATCTAGTTACATTTTGTATCTTTTTTAAATGTCAACCTAAGTATGATTAACCAAACTTAAAATGATAAAGATTCGTCGGTTGTCAATTAAAAAAATATTGAAAGCAGTTATATTTTCATTATCTTTAATTAGTCTAATAGAAAATAAGCCAAACCAAGAAGTAGAAGATGGTGGGTTCGATCATGGATTGGACAAAGAAAAACGAATGAAAATTTGCACTTGAGAATCCCGAACAATTTAGATAGAATTTCGTTTTAATAATAAATAAAAGTAACTTAAAATTTCAAGTTGTCAATTTCAGAAAAAGTAATTTAACGAAATGAATGTATGTTTAAATATTACAAAGGATGCGAGTGTCAACCTAAATTGTGCCTCTAACCAAGGGTATATATTGTTCGTTTATTGACGTAAACGAACAATATTTTTTGAGTGAGAAATTAGCTCCTTCCACAATGTGGATGGAGTTAATTGCATTTTCATTTATGTGAAGTATTCTGGATGACAATTTTGCCCTAGTTCTCGCGTTCAGGTCATTTTGAGGTGAAATCTTTGAACCATTTCGAGAGCAATTGCCACTACTTGAAAATATTAACTTTTACAAAAAGTCATATTATTTACTTACCTCAGTATTTTTTTATAATATTTTATTTAGATAGTTAAAACACAATTACTATAGGATTACGTCACAAATGAATCTAAACATGCCTACTGAACAATTAGCACAGTTCTCTACGCATATTCCGTAACACTACACCGGGTAACCATATGATTAATCTGATTGGTCGAGCCAAATTCACTATAATTCGTATACAGAGTGTGGCGTAATAATCTATAAAAAATAAACTACAGCTTCCAGATGATATTTGTAATAGAAAACTCTAATACGAAAAAGTTATATTTTCGCGTTTTTTTTGTAAATTAAAGTTCATGTAATCAGCGAAAATGAAGGCTGACCTTGTGTTATTTATTACAAACTTTGGAAATAGTTTTAACCGACCCGAGATGCAACCTTATAATTTAAGACGGTATAATCTAATACTAGTACCTAATACTAAAAGAAGGCTAGGTTACATTGTCAAAAAATTTGTGCAGTCAACTGATTTTTATTTGTATTGAATCTTAATTATTAAGTATTAAGCATCGTCCATCGACCCATCAGTGTTAAAAAGTAAAAGATTCCAGACAAAAGTTTTTATTTTGTAATTCCACGATAGTGGCAGTGTAATTTTTATAAAGTAAAAATTAAGAATAGCGTGCCGATTACATTAAAAACGAGATTATTATTTCTTACCTTGCTTAATTTTTTAGTTTGTGCACAAACTAGTTTTACAATGAACCGAGAAAACAATGCATTTACTATTTCCGAACGTGTCAATATGGTGTTAGTGTATGGTGCAGCCGGAGAAAATATACTCGCGGCGACTAGGTTGTACCGGGAACGGTGGTCACAACGTCACCCCCCATGTGCAAATACAATCCTACAGTGCGTTCGAGATACGGGAAGTGTTATTCCTCGAGAAAGACGTAGTCAGCAAGTGAACCTTAATGTTGAAGATGCAGTGTTGGGAAATCTTGACGAAGACCCCACGATTAGTACTCGACGACTCGCACAGCGAGTAGGAACCTCATCTCGTACCGTACATCGCATCTTAAGGTGCCAGCTGTTGCACCCCTTTCATCTGCAACTAGTTCAACAGATTTTACTCCCGGATTGTGATCAACGAATGCGTTTTTGCAGATGATTTTTAAGGCAATGTGCCAATCAAGTAGACTTTCCTGCTTAAGTTTGTGTAACATATGATGCGACATTTACTCGTGATGAAGTGAATTTCCATAATATGCACATATGGGCGATGAAAATCCTCACGCTATTAGGGAAACTCATTTTCAACATCGGTTCTCGGTAAATGTTTAGGCTGGCATAATAGGCGATATACTTGTAGATCCCTGTTTCTTTGTAGGACGACTAAATGGACCAACATATGCTGACTTTTTGGAGAACTGGTTGCCTGAATTATTGGACGATGTAGCATTACATGTTCGGGCACGCATGTTTTATCTTCCAAGATGGGGCTCCTCCACACAGTACTCGAGAAGTAACGACACTTTTGAATGAAATGTTTCCTCAGCGATGGATTGGACGCTTTGGTCCTGTGCCGTGGCCACCTCGGTCACCCGATCTAACTCCAATGGACTTTTATCTTTGGAGTCACTTGAAATCATTGAAACCGTATACTTAAAGCTGCTGACACAATTAGGGGAGTACCTGGAGTTTGGGAAAATATTCGCCAAAATTGGGTGCGTCGGTGCCATGCCTGTATCCGCGCTAATGGGGATCAATTTCAACATTTTCTGTAGAAATGGTAAGTTTTATTTCATTTTGTTCCATATTTTAATGCAGTTTGTTTAGTGCACCCAGTTGGCTACTACAGATGCTTACGGATGTGGTTTTGTTTGCGAACTGTTGCAGTAACAACAATGTATTAAGATAGATAGTAATTACTATTAATTATTATTATAATAAGAAAATATCCGTTTTTTTAAAATATCCATTTTTCTTAATTTGTACTTTTGTATTGAAAAATTCCCCAAAAATTGAGAAGTATCTTTGTAATTTTCAACTTCAATTTGCTTACGCGGCTTATCTACAGCACGTAACTCATCGTACAGTACACGGACAGGACCGTTCCAGAGAAAATATTTTGATCCATAATTGACCTTTAATTTACGGAAAAAACGCAAACATAGAACTTTTTCGTATAAGACATTTCTGTTAGAAAAATCGTTCGGTAGCTGTAGTTTAATTTTTATAAATTATACACGCCACACCCTGTATTTGCATCAGATTTACTAAAAATGCATAAAAGATTAGGAATAATATATTTTAAAATGTAAAAGTACAACTTAAAAGGTAAGGATACACCGCAAAAAGAAAATATACACTCAACAGTGTAATTCTACCACAATGTATCATGCATGTTAACTTTTTTTATATATTTTGTGTATAAAAACCATCACAAATATATGAAAATCCTATGTGAATTCTCACAATTTTAAGAGTGTATGAAATACGAAAAAAAAATTTTAACTTATGGAAAAAACTTTCGTTTACTTTAAAATGCAAATCCCAAGGAAAGAAAACTGTCTTTCACACACTCTGATAACCTAACACGATTAAATAATGATAAAATATCGATATTTCCTGGCCTGATTTCTCGTCCTGACTATAAATAATTTCCTGAGTTAAGCGCACGCCTACCAACGTTTACTGTCGCACGCCATTACCAAAGGTCACTCGATGAATTAGCTCATAATTATTAATCACTGATAAAAAATCCATTAAGTACCACTTATCAACGGATTTACTTATTCATGCGCTTCTATGTGTGGAAGAACTGCATGGGTGGTACGAACAAAGTCGTGAGGTAAGTGGGTAATCTTGAGGAAGCTCAACTTCATGGTGACTGATAAGGGAATTGTCTTCAGATAAGCTTATTGCTTTCTTTATGGTGACCTTAATAATGAAACCAAGAACTGGTGCGGTCAATATGTCATATTTATGTGGACTTTGGACTTTAATTCGAGCCCAGTGACCTGCTCGGTCGAAATAAAAAGGTGACCATTCGTTGATTCAGTTTTCTTAGAACTATACATAGCTACTGAAATGAAAATGCACAATGAAAGAGAGCCTTGACCAAAATTGTCAGGGAATTATGAGAAACATCACCGAGTCGAAGTATCAAAATAGAAAAGGGATGAAAATTATTTGTAGATGAACAGGAAACGTTATCTGTTGATAGTGGATTAGAATTATTGGTCGGTGCCAACTCTTGAGCACAACAGTGTAATGTATATTAAAATAATATTACTTACTAACTAGCGTGTATAAAGTTTTATGCATTTACTTCTTGTATTCTTCCAATAGATCAGCTGTCAGAAGAAGCACAGTAATCTAGAAACAAAGACACAAGGAGGTATTGACAACAGTTCACAAAAAAACTCACTTGTAGATACAATCAGATATCTAATTAACAGGTTGTTGATATCTTCAGGTCCATCATTATTAGTCAACTTAAGATATAGTCCGAGATTTGTATGTATAAAAGTCAATAAAGTCTATTCTATTCAATTCTATTGTGACGCATCATCAGCACCAGTTTGAACCCATTAACGTATGGGCTGGAATCATCGGGCATTGGACCATTTGTATTGCCAGAATGTGTTAACTGGGGAACTTTTTTGAATTTCTCCAAGACAACTTGCCAAAACTTTTAGACAACCTACCTTTGGCAATACGACATGGTATGTGGTTCATGTATGATGGGGCACCACCCCATTTTAGTCTGGCAGTACGAAAACACTTCAACAGGCATTTCAAAAATTGTTGGATAGGAAGAGGAGGACCAGTGGCTTGACCTCTTCAATCCAACAATATGTAATTTGTAG